TTGAGGGCTTTTTTGGATCAGCATTGTCTTAGCCACTTCTATGGCTCATTCATACCTGTCTGCCCGAACAAAACACTCAGTCACTTGCTTTTGTGTTTGTCTGCCACTGTACCAAGCTTCCCTTTGGAGATGGAACATAGATTTTGCTGTTCTTGTAAAACCCAAACAGATTTAGGATTCTGTTGTCCCCCTTTCTAGTAGGGATAAATCTTGTGTAAGCAGAGGAGAGGTAGTCATAGTACATGGGGTTTCTTCTTAGGAGCTACTGAATTAACAGGTATAGATTTCTTTGGTTTTTTATATTTATTTATTTATTTATTTATTTATTTATTTATTTTTGCGGAACCGGGGACTGAACTCAGGTCCTTGTGCTTGCCAGGGAAGCGCTTATTCCACTGAGCCATCTCCCCGGCCCCTCTTTGGTTTAAATAACAGAAATCCTAACTGACAGAGGCTTAAATATTTATCTCACACAACAAGAGGTCTAGTACAGCAGCTTAACTTTTTAAAACATCTTCTCACCATACTTTTACTTCATTATCCTTAGCTATTGACTTTTGTGATTGTGTTTGCTACCTCTGTGCTTTTTCACGTTTGCCATATTCCCAGGTGTCACATTTATGGTCAAAGTGGGACAGAGGAGTAGCCCCAACTCTATTTCACTCAACCAGAAAAGCATAACCAGTCCTGATTTCCTTATATCACATTGTTTGTAACTATATCACACAAACTCAGAACTATATCTAGAGTTAACATGTAACACTTTTATTTTTTGTATTTAGCACAGGGTCTACAGGGACTACAGGGTCTCACTGTGTACAATGGACTCGTAGTGATCCTCCTGTTTACAGTCTCCCAAATGCTGGGATTACAGGTGTGCACCACCATGCCCAGTCTCAGTTGCCATCTCAGTGCGCTCCAAGGGTGGAGCCAGCCCGGCCGGCCCAGGGATCGAACTCCTGGCCCCTGCATCTGTCTAAGCAGGCACTTTAATCCTCTGAGCTATTTAGCCTGCCCTTTGGCATGTAATGCTGACAAAATCAGTATGTGGATTTCTAGCATATATGGCTGAAAGTGGCAAGGAAACAGGGTTGGAAAGACATTGTACGTTCTCACTTTTCTTCTCACTCTTTTCATTCCCTTTAGTCTCAGGAAATTTTATATAGTCTCTATAGGACAGATGTTGTTTCACCTCACTCAGTACCCATTTCTATTAACTTTCTCCATTTCTTTCTTGTAGTCTATAGGATAGAAACTCCTAACTGCTTGATTTCTCAACTTCTCCAGCCAATTGTGTGCGTGTAGGTGTGGTATTGGTGGTGGGGCTTCGTATATCAAATGAAAAAGTCAGAGAGGCTTATTTGGAAAACTCTACCTTTGTTATTCCATTTTCTCTCTCTGAGGGACATGGTTTTGATGCTTACAGGGACAGTAGTCATCCTGTGACTATGAGGGGAAAAATGAAAATATAAGCTAATGGAATAAAAATAATTTGAAACATGATGACACTGTGGATCTAGTGTCGGATTTCTAGGGTCTACCTCTGAACTTCTAATGTAAGACCAATATGCCACTGCTTGTTTAAGACAACTGTAGAGTTTTCTGCTGATTGTGGTCAAAGGTAGTTCTATTAGGCAAACATGAATATTGTAGCATAGGATTGTAATCTCAGCACTCAGGAGACTAAGGCACAAAGATACTGAGACCAGTCTGGGGTATACAGTGAGCTCAAGACTGGCTGGGGCTGTATGGTGAGAACCAGTATCAAAAAAAGTTCAAACATCTTTATGACATTTTGCTGTGTCAGAAAACGATGCTATGTAATATAAGGAAAAAGGTCTCACTTCATTTATGTAAAAAACACATTTATCAATAGTTACAAGTACCTACAAGTCCTCCCAAATTAGGCTAGATTAGGAAGTGACTTTACTGGATGGGTGTGAGTAAACTCAGGACCTATTGAGAACAAGTCCAGCTGCACTTCAAAGCATACTACTACCAGGACTGGAAAGTCTTAGAAACCACTGCACATATTCCTTTTTCCCTCTGTGGATTTTTAGTCTCCCCACCTTTTTTTTTTTTTGGTACCAGGAATCAAATTTATGACCTCACACTGGTCAGGCAGAAGCTATGGGCCTGAGCTATATCTTGTGCCCTTCTCCATGGACACATGACCTCTTACGATCTGTTCTCTTTTTTTATTGGCAGTGGCTTTTTCTTGTTTGTGCCTGAAGTAGAAAATAAATTATTTCTGTCTTATCAGGTTAAATAAAATCCCAGACTAAGTAACATTACTTTTATTTTTTAACTTCTCTGGAGAAAGAACCTGATTGGTCTAATTTTTTTGTTGTTTAGTCAAATTAGTGGTAATTGGGGTGGGATGGCTTAGTGGCTCAGGGAGAACAGTCCTGAAAAGGGCATAGATATGTACGCGGGAGGCACAGGCTGTGGTGAAGAAACAATGGGCGTCTCGATTATTCTTCTGAAATTTTGATCAGTTACATGGTGAACAAGCTAATGACCCATTTATTCTACAGTATCAGTCTCACTGACACTCTCTCTCAGGGAATGTCCGCTGACTCAGCTAGTTGCTTATGTCACAAACTTTTACACAACCAGTCATGACCTCAGCAGTTAATATTTGTTGACTGTGTGCATTGTATGATAGGCATTCTATATGCATTATCTTACTTTCACCCTGAGTGCAGCTCTAAAGTATTATCTATTTTATTAATGAGAAAAGTGAAATTTTAAGATATTAAGTCAAGCCTTAGTATCTCTTTTAGATTACTGAACAGCTTCAGGTCTTCTTGTCTGTGAACTTGCTCTGGAAATCTCCCATCTTATACTCAGCAGTCATAATGGTGCCTCTAAAACACAAACCTGATCATGTTACATTTCTGCTTAAAATCCTTTGTCCAAGGTCCTTTACATGATTTATAAACCCTCCATGATCTGCGTCTTTATGACTTCCATCCAAATCTCTCAGTCACTCTATCTTTAAACTACAGAGATTATTTGTTTTGATGTTTTTAATTGGCATAATAAGTTACATATTTATGAGGTACATATTTTCAGTTTTTCTTTTTCAGTACTGGGAATTGAACTTATGACCTTGCACTTGCCAGGCAGGCACTATGCTGCTGAGGTATATCCCCCACTCCATATTTGCAGTTCTTAACTGTCATTTCTTATCCTTGTACAACAACCCTCTAGGCATTCTCCCCACTCATGTTACCTACACTCATGATTCAGTGTGGATGCTACCTTATTCAGAAACATCTGCATTGAGTGGAATACTTTGTACTCCTGTAGCATTCAGCACTTTGCTTCTATACATGGCACCAGACTGCAATTGTTTGGTAACTTATTCCTCCTTTTGGGTTAAATTGCAAATTTTTTTTTTTTTTTTTTCGGAACTGGGGATTGAACTCAGACCCTTGTGCTTGCTAGGGAAGCGCTTATTCCACTGATCCATCTCCCCGGCCCCTAAATTGTAAAATCTTTAGAGGGATGTTTGTTTCACTGCTAAATACTTTTAAGACTGGCATAGTGTTTGGCATGTTGTGGTTGCTTAATAAATATTTGTTAAGTGAATGAATCTTAAGTATGAAGTACTCCCAAAACTACTTGGAGAGTAAAAGATATTCAATATTTCTTATTTAGTAAGTGGATTATCTTGACAGTTATATCCCTTATCAAAAAGCTTTTGGTGTATATAAAAAAACCAAAAAATAATAGTAGTTGAGAAAACGTCATAAAATAATACAACAAGAGAAAGCTCAACTTAGTATAAGGTAAAGAAAGCTAAATGAAACAATATGATTGTGGGACTGAGGGCATACAAGCAAGAAGAATAAGTCAGGCCTGTGAGCTCAGTGGCATAAGTGCCTGCCTGGTAAGTGCAAGGTCCTGAGTTTGATCCTTGGTACCACAAACAAACAAACAAACAAAAAATTACTAAGTGAAATGTACTTTGTTTGTAATATCTCATTTAAGCCTTGCAGTAATTCTTTAATATTGTTATGCCTCAATAGGTTAAAAGATAAATAGAAGTCAAATTAAAGCAAAATAAACTGAATGATGTTCTATTTTGGATACAAGTGACCTACACATGAGAAGTAAATGAAGAAACCTATAATCAACCCCAGAAAATATTACAGAGATCATCCTAGGGTAAATCCTATCACATCCAAAATAGCCTCTTGGAAGGTCTGGCTTTTTGGATCAGTTTTTGAGCTCCTTTTCGTTAAGTGATCTCTTTCACTCTCTCATCTGCTTTAAACATAGGAATATTTCCTTTCTTCCATTAACATAAATTCTATTTCCTCCCTCAAGCTCTCTCACCGTAACTTCTTTTTTGCTCTTTGAGTGCTGGGAATAGAACCCAAGGCTTGGCATGCACTATAATAGGGTCTTACCACTGAGCTACATCCTCATCCTTAATTTTCTTTTGAGCAAATTTGCCTCATGAGATCTGTTTTTTGATTTAGCTCTAGTTTTTTCAATTTAGTGAATCATCACGACTTCTTTTTTTAGGGCATTGTGAACAACACAAGCAGTGAAAAAGTCTATTGTGGATCACACAGGCAAAAAAAAAAAAGAAAAACAAAACCCCTAAACCCCTTATCAGTCGCTGTGTTTGTTACCACGTACAGTACTGCGCACGATGGAAAAGTTCCATCATTTCCAAATTCTGTTAAGTACTGTTTTAAACTTTCTAAGACACATTTTATTACTAATGAAATAATAAATAATAATAAAAAGAGGATCCTAGTATGACTTCTGATTACTCTGGGACTTCTGTACAGATCAAAAGAGGTGGTTTATGTGGAAACGCTTTTCAAACATTTGGTAAAATGGTGCAAAATGTCTGTACCTGGCTACGCACAAACCCAAGACACCTGGGTTCCGGTGCCAAAGAAACCCCAAGGCGGCGCTTCGCTAGGGAGAGGAAGCCGCGCCGGCCGCGTGACGTCATCACTCCGCGCCCACCGCTGCGGTCTCCCAGCAGGGCTCAGGCTAGCGTCGCTCGCCATGGGCACCTGGCAGCGTCTGTTCCTTTTTGGTGGCATGTCGCTCCGGGGTAGTGGCTGCGCCCCTTGGTGGCTTAGGGGTATCCGAGCATTGGGTTTTCGCCGCCAGGTCCGTGGTGCTGCCGAGAGAGCAGAGGGAGGCGGGCGGGATGAGGATGCCGGTGGGCTTGTCCGCGCGTTTCCTCGCGTTGCCTCTCGAGCGGGACTTAGCTCAGTCCCTGTTGGGCTCCTGCCCTACTCGGAGTCACAGGGAGGCCTGTAGACTCACTGACGGACTTTCCCATGTTCTGCCAGGCCCACAGTAGGTCTAGGCTGAGGTGTGACAGGCCCTGAAAAAGATGGTTAGGACACGGATGTGTGTCTTCTACGACCCTTTTGTGATTTGGGGTTAATCTGTACACATGTTAAAGAGAAGGCAGACGGAAAGGGTGTAGCCCTGTAAAGAGGAAACTTACTTTCCATTTTTCAAAGTCAGCGTTCCCTGGCAAATAAAGTTCAATTTATACATGTACCTTTGCAATTTGTGATCAGTACTACTGATGGTAGGTAAATAGCACTTAAAGGATGACCTAGTGGCAATGGGAATCAGAAAAGAAAGCCCTCTTAATCATAAAGCACGAATTGCTTTTACTTTTACAACAGGAAAACTTTCTTTCTTTCTTTTCTGAAGTTATCTGGCGCTGAGAGTGAGAACCTAAAACAAAGAAGAACACAGATCATGTCCCGAGGACTTCCAAAGCAGAAACCCATAGAAGGTGTTAAACAAGTTATAGTTGTGGCTTCTGGAAAGGGTGGCGTTGGAAAGTCTACTACAGCAGGTATTGCGGGATATTCTGATACTGACTAAGAACCAATGGCAAATGATTGTATTTCACAAATGTTTAGGATTTACGAAGTTTAACAGCTGGTTCCTTAGTGTTAGGAGTTGATAACCAGTAGGAACTCAGATTATGCGGTTAGACAAAACTAAATACAGAACCAAGTTATCTACTCCTTAACTGGACAAATATCTGTCCAGTTGCTCCTCAGTTTACTTGACTCTGAAAGCTGTTTTGAGGTTATGCAAATTAAGCTAGCCCCTAACCCCTGTGTCCTTCATAGTAAGTACTCAATAATTGATTTTTGTTTTAAAACATCTAGTATCACTAATACTAAATAATTTCTGTTCTTTTCCAGTCTTTATGAGTGGATATATAGCTAGATATTTGCAGAGATTGTTATGACTTTTTTTACTTAACCATAATATAATTTTCACCATTTCTATAGTCAACATAGCAATAATCTTTGAAAATGCATGAGAGATTTAACATTGTTTTGCTTACTGTATCTTTTAGTAACATATTAATTTACTATGATCAAAGAATTTTTTTGGTGGCCCTTTCTATTGATTGTAGACTTGTCTCTAAAATGATATTTTCAAAACACATAGAAGTGCCACCAGAACTAAAAGAGTTAACAGTCCAGTTATTTCCAAAGATTTTCAAAGAAACCTTTTATTTGTAGAAAAATTATTCTTATAAATGTTAAAGGGAAACTTCTCATGCTCTTACTCAATAGCAGTGAATTGAATTTTTTTAGTTTTATTGAGATATATTGACAAAATATTGTTCATATTCAAGGTGTGGGATTTGCTGATTTTTTTTAATTTTTTTTTTTTTTTTGGTTGGGATTTGCTGTTTTGATGCATGTATACATTGTGGAATAATTTCCACAGTTAAGCTAATTGTCCGTCACCTTAGGCTGTTGAGCACTTGCCTAGCAGGAGCAAGGCCTTGGGTTTAATCTCTAGGACTGGGGAAAGCCCAAACTAAGACAAAACATCCATAATTTCATTTAGTTACATTTTTGTGCATATGTATGATGAGACTATTTAAGATTACTCTCAGTGAATTTCAACATGTTATACATTAGGTCTGCAGAACTTACTCATCTTAAAACTGCAGGTTTGTTTTTAGACTTGTACTAATGTAAAATACTCATATTTTTCAATTGTTGAATTTTCAGTCCTTTTAGTAGACCAAGCAATCTTTTTTTGCAGTTGATTAAAAAATGATTATCTTTTATGTATTGTGTTAGTTCTAGCTGACATGATTTTTAAAACTTTGAGGGTTTTTTTTTTTTTTGAGACTATTAACCTAAAGTCATGAAGCATATTTATATTAAAATTCTTTAGTTCCATTGAGCTCAACATTTTGAAATAAGAAAGACCAGGTATAGGATTCTGTCCTTGTCACTGGAAATCTTTTGTGTTGACCTGAAACCATATTTTCTTTTTTTTGGGTTATAAAAGCACTTTTATAAAGCCATTTTTAAACAAAACAGAAAAAAGTTTACAAAAAAAAAAAAAGATACAGAAAAAGAATAACTTGCTTCATATGTCCCTGAAAGAGAAAAATAAAGGGGACAATGCCAACATGCTCAACAATAAGGGGTTCTTTTTCTTATTTTTTAATACAAAATACAAGCAAAGGATACACATACTTAAAACAGAGCTCAGAAGCAGACTCGCAGTCCTGGAAACCCTTCAATAAAAGTAAAGCAGGAGTTTGTTTTTTTTCTATGCAGATACATACAGAGACTGGGGTATGTAAAAATTAAGGATCACAAAAGACCGTCACACGATTCTACCAGTGCATGTTGCATCTATAATTCACGAACATGGTCAACAAAATCATGTTCACTTCAACCCTATTTCATTTAAATTAAAGGAAAAACCTTTTAAATAAAGTGGTTACATTCAAACTTTAACTTCCTTAGTACCATGCTGCAGATTCCAGCACTGTTAAGGTATTGCAAGAATGCCCAACCCTTTGGTGTCTGATCATGTATCTAGCGATATTGTAAAGGATACCGGTTTTAGCCCATGGACTAATTCATATGTTTAAGCAGGTTCCTCTTTTACCCTTCCTGCTCAGAACATAAAAGATTTAAGGACTAAAATTGAGGACTAGGAGTTTTTTGAGCTGGCAAAATGAAAAGTCTAAAACATGAATCAAGGCAATCAATCACTGAGAACTGGGCTGCTGCTTACCCTGGCAAGTCTTAGTCTTTTCTAAGTCTTGCAGGAGTTAGGTGTATAAGGTTTGTTACAACACGTTCATAGTAAACAAGTTAAGTAGAGCTCTTATTTACAAATCTTGTAACAAATAGTTCTGGAGGAAAAAAAGAAAAGGATTCACTAATTTCCAGAAGACAAAGGTTTAATTTGCTAGACATAATACAAACACATACCCATATGCACACTCACACAATACTTGAGGGGTTTTTATACATGTTATTTTAGGGCATAAGCTGAGTACTATACTCCCACATCCCATCAATAAAAGAACAAAAAAAAATCCTAGTTTCACCCCCCATGATTAGAAAACCCTCCCTCATCCCTGATGTACAAAGTGTCTGCATAGTGGTGGCATTCTACCAACCACACAAAGCATGCTCCAATAGATGTCACCCATCAGTCACTCCACTGGCATGGCAACAGGCAGATATTTGGGATTTTCCCCAATAGTGGTTATTTCAGTCAGTACCACTGTGAGTTTCGTGTATTAGGCTTGAAGTGTAAATTAAGGATTTGATATTCAAAAAGAATTATGTGAGTTTATCCAAAAGAAGGGGAAAATGAGGTGAGACTGAAATCTAGGTGACAGACATCTTGTTGTCCCAATATCCAAACAATAAACCAACTCTCCATTTTCACACACTCAGCTTCACCCGCAGAGAAAAGGACAAATTTCTACCCTCAAGAGCATCCAATTTATTTTTCCTGCTCCTTAGCAGGAGCTATGTATTACTTGTTAGGTATCTCAGTATAAACTCCGTAAAGACCACAACCCAGGTGAAACCATATTTTCTAAGTATAACAATTATAGTACAGCCAGCTAGAAATCCAATAAGAGTGCTAGTAGCTCTCCCCATCCCATTGGAAGGGAATTAAGAAAAGTTTTTCAGATGTTTTGAAGAAGTTAAGATTTATCAAATATATTTGTGTTATATTCTATTAGTATTTGATAGTTACTGTATGATTAAAAATGGTGATTTAATGTATTCATGCCATGTTCTACACATTTTTATTTTCTTTTCTGAGTGTCTACCATCTATTTGATGTTTTTAAAGTTTAGGATCTCCTAATCATTGGTTCTAGAATCTGTTTTTGAAAAATTGAAGTACAGTTACTTAATTCAATGATGTGAGTCCTTTTGCTTTGTTGGAATGGATAAAAATAGGAGTTGTTTTCATGATCTTAGGTATAATTCCTGTAATATTTTATTTAATCCTCAATAGTTGTGAAGTGGGAATTCTGTTTGTTTTATAGAGAAGGAATCAGATGTACAGGTAGAATAAATAACCTAATCGGATTTATTCAGTAGGTGGTTTGAGTGAGGTTTGTCTTAAAATTTATATTCTTAATTACTTTAAAGAAAACATTTACTTCGGTGTTCTATAAGAGAGTATGAAATCTCTATCAGGTTTGGAACTACATTGCTTTAGGACCGCTCTCCTCAGATGTCATGTATCCTTACTGTAGGCTAACATGGCATTGGGATTACTGCTTTCCTACTTGATGTCTGTGGGATTCACTAGCATAAGCAATTCGGGAACACATTTTATTCCCTTATCTCTGTGTACAGTAGCCCAGCTCTTTGTATACAGGTATGTGTCTGGGTTAGATACTTGGAACTCCTACTCTACCAGCACTTTAACAAGAAAATAGGATTACATCTATTTTTGTTTATTAATTGGCATATAATTTTTCTATAAAATGTGCTTTTGACAACAATTAAACTATATATTTCATTAACTTTAAAGGATAAAATGGGTTATTTGAGCAAAATTGTAACATAAATGGACTACTTAAAAATCTTAATTTTGGGGCAAGCATGTATCAGTTATACTGCAAAATTAGGTTGTTTATTGTATTTTTATTTTCTGCATTCTGTTCACATTCTTGTTTTTTACAAGTAAGAGAGATACATGAAAATTTTCTATGCTTTTATTATTATGCTAAAAACATTAGAAGGCATAATAACTAAAGTAAAGTTACTAAATTTAATTACTTTTTTTTCAGTAAATCTTGCACTTGCACTGGCAGCGAATGACTCGGTAAGTATTTTTTTATCTTTTTGAGATGGGGTCTCACTATAGAGTTCAGGCTGGCCTTGAGCTCACTTTTTTTTTTTTTTTTTTTCTTAGCATATTAATATGGCTTTACTTTATATACCTCGTTTTTATACTTTTCTGCTGGATGGTTAAGACCAAGATAAAGCAAGACCTATATAACAAGAAATTAACTTTTGTATCTGATAAGGTCAGTCAAGTTCCCTCAGGATTTATGCTGTAACCCTGTACTGCACTTTGTAGATCCTTTGTCAGTGTCAGCCACGTGGATGAGTCATGGCTATTGCTTGACCAATTTGCTCTCTGTGAAAGCCTGAGAGAAAGTTTTCTCTTCATGTGACTCTCCTTAGGCATACTATACATTATCAATCACATTCCTCT